CATCTGTGATACTCGCAACAAAATCCTGGCTGGCAGAGCTGCCTGCCCAGACCATGGTCCCCAGAAGCTGGGATGTTTCCCTCAGTAGAAATGTTCACTGTGTGTGTAGCTGTTACCCTGCTTCCTGGGTGCTCGGGGACAGATCACTCCCGGCCCACTGCCCACAGCAAGAAACCCCGACCGTTTCTGTAGCACAGGAACCAATGAAGAAAAGTGCACTCAACATTTATTTTACTCTTGCAGAACAAGTCATAGATTGTGACGTCCACAGTGGCATCACTTAGACAAAAGGACAGGAGGCACCCACAGGATAAACCTATCACCACAGCAGAATGAACAGGGACACATTTTAAAAGAACCACATTCTACAAAGTACTGATCTAGTCCCATAAATACTGAAACAGGTGGAATACAAAGCACTGTGGACACCCTGGACCTGGACTTCTCCACAGTTCTGTTTGCAAGAAAGCAAAGATTATTTGGCCCTGATGTACACGGTTACTCAATAGAATTCTCAAGTTTCCCAGGGTGGGAAAAACCCTGACTGGACCTCCCAGCATGGAGCCCACGACACCCCAGGCAGGCTCAGACTCAACCCAGACAGCAGTGAACAGGACGCCAGCTTTCCTCAAATGAAAACTGGAAAGAAAAAAAAACAAAACAGACAAACAACAGACTTTGCCAGTTAGCACAGTCTGTAATCCCATTCGGACACCTGGGCATGGGTCCAGTGGCCATCACTCAGAATGAGCGCCAGCAAGGTTGGCAGTTTTATGCTCTGGCTGCCCGGTGAGCAGCTGAGCCCATCTGCTCTTGGCTCCTCGGCCAGGACAGAAAAACAGGCAGATTCATTGGCGACACTGGGACTTTATTTATAACCTAAGAAAATGAAGAGGCCCCCGCCAGGGTATGTGCGTATTTTAGGAAAGAATAAAGGCCTCAGTAGATGTTGATCAAATGCAAACGCAAGGAAGAGGGTTTCTATCTGTAATGACATCCTTGTTTAATTTTTCCAGTCCAGGGAAACAGTGAAAATTGTCCAGTCCCAAGGAAGCACATCACCTGGACAGACGTATAAAGCCAGGTATTCGACTGTCCACAGCAGGAGGCAAGGCCGCTGGCTTTGGGAAAGCATTTCGTGCGCAGGCCATACGCACAGCTCCACTGGCTGGCATGCTTTGTGCAGCACGTTCTTCCTGTTTCCTGTCCGTGTTTATTTTCTCTCAAATTAAAGACACATTTTGGGCTGGCAAGTGTGTCCTCAGCTTTCTGAGGAAAATGAGTTTCATGATGGGTGTGCAAAAATGACTACTGCACTTTAAAAACAAGCTTTTCATGCCATTCAGAGGTTGACGGTTTGAAAGCCGGAGACCTGTATGTGTGTAAGCATCGCTGGACATGAGCAGGTGACCAGCCTTGAGCCTGGTTCAGGTGTCTGTTCACAAAGGCACAACCACAGACACAGGAGTGACCCGAGGTAGCTGCCGACACCAGGTCATCGCTGGTGCATGCGCATCTGAGACAGTTCAGTGAGGACATTCTGTAAAAACTAGACAAAGTTAATTAAAATATATCGCGTCTGCACAGTCACTAAACAGAAGGCCCAGCAAGGCTGTGGTTGTGGCTCTTGGCGCAGGAAGTGCCGGGAAGCAGGAGAACTAGCGGTGCAGACATGTCCAATAGAAGGAATGTGAGCCCCAAGCAAGGGCAGCGTGGCAACAGCCTGGGATGAGCAAAGTCTCAGGAGCAGCTTTACAGGAAATTGCCTCATTTACTAATGATTTAGGAAAATCTTCATTTTGTTTGTGGTCCAAAGTTCAGAAAATCAAAACCTGCTGAAAGCCACTGGTGAGAGTGAAGGGTGGGGCACATCAGGGGGTGTGGGACCCGGAAATCCACGACAATACTCGGAAACAGGCAGCCGTGTCTGCTACATGCAGATGACAAAGTCTGCGGGAAGGCCAACATGTGAGTCCTGCGTGGGCGGCCACAGATGTGCCCCTTCTCTGTTCACATCCCACGGTCAGCAGCTGAGTAGAGCTGTGCTCTCAAGGGCGGGGCAGGAGCCCCGGGGAAGAGGTGCTTTCACTCTGGTCCTCAAGGATCAATGCGATATCCCACCTCCCAAGCCACCTGCAACGAACCAATCCTCCTTAGTTGTGTTTTGGGGGAACAGAAACCTGGGGAAGTCACACGAGGAACATCCTCACAGTGAAGGAGAGCTTGTCAAGCAGGCAACCACACGCTTGCCTGTCCCCGGGACGCAGTTCAGCTCCGTAAAAAGGTTGGCTGCAGTTTGAAAGGCCTCATTTTAATTCACGATGGCAGACTGTTTCAAGTAGGCAGAACTTAATGAGACATAATTATTGCTCTGTTTCCAAGAGGTCTGATCTCTGAAGAGGCTATTTTTATATTTTCCAGCTGAGAAGCCAATGGGGACACCAGGGGATGGGTTGTGGGAGACAAGGACCTAATAGCAGGGAGGGAAAGGAGGCTCGGGGAACGAGTCTTCAGCTCCTTTTCTCAGGTAATTCTCTAAGTTCCCACAGGCAGGCTCCTGGGGGTCAGGGGGCCAGACCTGCTGAGTGGGGCTGCTTCTGACGAGCCCCCCGGCTTAGTACATACTGGTCAAAGTTGAGGAGGAGGGGCCTCCAAGACTGGCTGGCGGTGGACCTTGTCCCCATCAGAATCCCATCAGGTTGGGAGTCTCAGCCCAGCTTAGCACAAACACCGAGTGTCTGGGGGGGACGGCCAGGCCAACCCCGGCCGCAGTTCAGTGTGGTGACCCGACATGCACGACAGGTTCCCAAAGCCACTTGTGCCTGTTTCCTTCTTACAAAACTATAACATCATCTTAAATACAGTGTAACAAAAACTGTAAACACCAAAACTCCTTCCCTCCCCTTCCCCTGCTCCCCCATTTGGGAGGAACCAGCTGCGTGGGGACAGGGCACCAGCAGGGACCCTGCAGAGCAGCCGCCAAGAACAGCAGGGGACGCCAAATCTCCCTCCCAGAGTCCAACACTACAGATGTCCATCCCCAACCTCCAGAGCGGGAAGTCACCACAGGTGGGGGACCATCGGCAGGCAGGGGGCCTGGTCCGGCACAGATGCTGAAGGGAGTGTGGCCCAGCCCCTCCTTGGGTGACCTTTCCCTAAGTGGTGCCAGATGCCGGGGCCTCCAAGGAGGGGAGGACACCTCGGTATGGGCAGGAAGGCAGGGCCCAGCTCCGGGCCATCAGCAGCAGGGGTCCCTTGTTTCTGCACTATGTGTGTTCCCTCCCCACTCTGCGGGGCTCCATGATCTCCGACTGCCCTAGCCTTCTGTCCTGGCAGAGGTCTCCCCAGATGGCTGAGGGGCAGGACAGGCTTCGGTGGCCTGATGGCTGGTGTGGGGCAGATGAGTTCTCTCCATCAGCACCGAGCAGGAAGCGGCTCACGTTGGCACCTGGACCCAGCTCTGGCTTCACAGTTTTCCCCATGGATGTCACCCACAGAGAATCAGGGCTGGGCCTACCTGCAGTGGGACCTGCGTGCCCAGCGCTTGGCGACGGTCATGCAGAGGCTGGAGGGTCCCGACCCCTCCCGTGTTGAGTTGGGGGGAACAGGAGGCAGTTTTCACATTATGTGGCAATGGCTCAGCAGCAGCTGACTCTGGTCACCCCCCAGGAAGCCAGCGTCTGGGGTCCCCATTCGAGTTCCTGCTGGTTTTGACTGAAAACCCCAGAGAGGGGCAGGAGCAGCTGCACTTGCCACTTTCCCACCCCAGCTGCCCATGGGGGTGGGGGTGCAGGCAGCGGAGGGCAGGGGACCACGATGGGCAGGAGGACAGCAGTGTGCATGCCTCAGGGCCCTGATACCGGCCAAGGGCCCCGAGCTCAGTGGTGCGGCCTGGGGTCCTTGGGGACCAGCGGCTCCGCACCATCCTCCGGGGTCCGGCTGGTGGCCGAGGCCAGGCTCTGCATGGCATCCCGCTGATGCTGCTTGGCTTTGTTGTAGAGCAGGACCCCAGCCATCACCAGGACGGTGCCCACGGCCGAAAGGCTGGTGATCTTGTTCCCGAAAACTATAATACTGAGCCAAATGGACAGGGCGTGCTTCACGGTGCTGGCGACACTGTGAGACAGAGGGGGGGTGACCACTGGATGCAGGTCCATGTCCAGTCCCAAGACCAGCCCCATGGCCTGCAAGTCCACAGCCTGTGGCAGTGGAGCTCTGGGAGGGGCTGGGCAGGGCTGGGTGGCTGGAGCTCTAAGGTCTCTCACTAACTCTCTCCTTTCCCTCTATCAGGAAAGGTGTCAAATGGAGAACAACAATGAACACTCTGCCTATTTGCTGCCTTTTATTTATTTTTAAATATATTTTTTATTGATTTCAGAGAGAGGAAGGGAGAGAGGGAGAAATAGAAACATCAATGATGAGAGAGTCATTGACCGGCTGCCTCCTGCGTGCCCCCCCCGGGGATCAAGCCCGAAACCCCAAGCATGTGCCCTGACTGGGAATCGAACCTGCTGAGCCACGCTGGCTGGGCTGCTTCCTTTTTTGGTTGGAAGAATTCTAATTACAAACATTAGTCACTTCAGGTTGCCCTCTAAAGGAGACACCGTCCCTCAATGCACAGCACCGTCTCGGCACTGAGAGGACACAGGCCCCGGCCGCTGTTCAGTGCAGACGGCAGCCAGCACAGTGAAAGTCCAGCTACCATCAGATACACAAAACACTACAGAAAGTTTAAACTTTATGCTTCCTACTTTCCTGCCTTTCCCAAACTTTGTGTAAAAGTACTGCTTTTATCATATGAATAAACCAAAAACACCTCTTTTCTTTAAGAACTGGTTTTTTGGTTTTTGCCTTTTTTTGAACCATCACTAATGATCATCAAAACACCAAGTTTCAGGAATATTTGGAAATTACTTTTTGCCCCGAATGTAAACAAGAATGTGGGACAGAGCCCGGCCAGCATGGCTGAGCAGTTGAGCATCGACCTATGAACCAGGTCAACGTTCGATTCCCGGTCAGGGTACAGGCCCAGGTTTCGGGCTCGACCCCCAGCAGGGGGCACGCAGGAGGCAGCTGATGAATGACTCTCATCATTGATGTTTCTCTCTCTCTCCCTTCCTCTCTCTGAGATCAATAAAGACATATTTTTAAAAATAATAAAACAATAAATAACTAAAAAAAATACAAGATCTCAAGGCTTCTCCACAAACCACCAGACGAGCCTGGTCCCTGGGGACGCTGCCTTACCTGAAGGTCACAGGGGAAATCCTGCCCATCAGGGCGTAGGCGGTGATGCTCTGCAGGTGGAACAGGACACCGTCCATCAGCAGCAGCAGCACCACGTCCTGGGTGTAGCTGAAGCTCCTCCCGCTCCTCCCGATCACCGGCAAGTCCTGCGTGCAGAGCAGAAACAGCGCTGATGCCGGCTGGCCTGTGCTGGTCACCCCAGGAGGACAGTGGGACACGTGCCCAGTGACCAGGGCCAACGAGCTGACACTGAGGATGCTCCGAGAACAGCCTTCTAGGGTGGCAACTAGACACCACTGATCCAGGTTTTAAACACGGACAGTAACAGGAAGCTCAGCATCACTGGTCACCAAGGAAACGCCACTTGAGCCACAGTGAGGCACCACCTCACACCCACTAGAACGGCCACTATCAAAACAACAACAACAAAAACAGAAAACACGTGTTGGCGAGGACATGGAGAAGCTGGAACCCTTTTGCACTGCTGGTGGGGATGTAAAGTGGTGCAGCTGCTTTGGAAAACAGTTTCACTGCTCCTCAAAAATTTAAACTGGCTGGTGTGGCTCGGTTGGTTGGGCATCAATCGTCCTGGGCACCGAAAGGTCGCCAGTTTGGTTTCCAGTCAGGGCACATGCCCGGGTTTCGGGCTTGATTCCCAATAAGGGGCGTGCAGGAGGCAGCTGATCAATGTTCTGCTCTCACATGGATGTTTCTGTCCCCCCCCTTCCACTCAGGTCAACTTTTTTAAAAAAAGAGGTCTGCACAGGTGTGCACACGTTTCTAGGCGTAACAGAATCATGCTTCACACGTGTGTCCTTCTAGCCACCAAGACATCCGGGAGGGGCTCCTGCAGGAGAGGGCCAAGGGGCTGGGCACACCTGCTCTTGTTTGCTATCCTTCTGCCCCTGACTGTTCTGTAGTAGGCACGTGTTATTTTTACTTTAGTATTTTTTTAATTGATTTCAGAGAGCAGAAGGGAGAGGAAGAGAGAGATAGGAACATCAATGTTAAGAGAGAGTCAACTGAACTGTGACCAACATTCAACCACTGAGCCTCAACCACTGAGGCTGGGTGGGCACGTGTTATTTTGAAACAAAATAAATAAGACCAAAAACCCTCACAGGAAACTCCCACAGCTACAGACGGGCCTGAGAGACCTGCACCCCGCCTGCTGTCCACTTTCTGTCCCTTCCCCTCAGGGCACATCGTGGACACTGCGCAATCCAGCAAAGCAGGAGAGCAAGCCACCCACATGACCGGACGTTAACTCGCTCTGCTACCAGAGGCTAAAGACAAAGGCAGCCAGGAGCCAGGGGTGTCTGCCCCGAAACTCACCAAGAAGAAAACCCAGGCGGGAACCAGCATGGCCACGGCCGCGGCACTCGTGTAGAACTGCAGCTCGGCAGCCCTGTGGATGGCATGCGCCTGAGCCCGTGCCCTGACCCCCTGGTGACAAGGAGAGCTGAGCGCCAAGCCCACCCGCACGGCCACGCGAGCAAAGGGCGGCCCTCCAGGTGGCTCTGCAGGCCTAAGGGGGCTCCCCCACATTTCCACAGGGACGTCTAAGGGCACCTACACCAATGGGAGGCGTCAGGCCCCGGCCCCGGCCCCGGAAGCCAATACTCACGAGAACCTGTACTTGTCTCCGCTGAGGAGCTTTTTCGAAAAAACATTTTGCAAACTGGAACAGAAAAGAGAAGAGGTTACCTGTCGATACAGAACGTCGGCCTAGAACCTCAAGCAGATGAGGTGTGTGCAGCACCCTATGATTTTTTTAAAATCCTCTCTCGATATTTTTTCCATTGCTTTTCGGAGAGAGAGGAAGGGGGGAGAGACGGATGTGAGAGACACATCTACGGGTTGCCTCCTGCATGAATCCCAACAGGAGTCAGGGGTTCAACCTGTGACCCTTCGGTTCACAGGCCAGCACTCTGACCACTGAGCCACACTGGCCAGGGCTGCGTCGCTCTGGACGGAAGCACCCACCGCCCAGACGAGGAACAGCGAGCGGGGCCCCCAGAGCACACCCCATGCCCTCGCTCCCTGCACTCACCAATCCATGATGTTGGTGGACAAAGCGGCTGAAAAGCCCAGGACATTGAAGCTCATCTCGGTGGCTGTGCACAGCGCCAGGCCTCCCATGACAGGGACAAGGGAGAGGTTAACCAGCAACCCTGGGAAGAAGGAACAGACAGGAGCCTGGCTGTGACCAGTCTGTGCAGTGCAGACGCTGGTCTCGGAGCCACGGCTGCTTTCTCCGTCTCAGGAGAGGGTGGGCTTCCACCTTAACCCAGAACCGACGACTGTCAGGCCTGTGCTGGAGGGAGGCAGAGGAACGAGAGCCCCCCACAGTGGTCTCTGCGGGGCCAAGGCGACCCCCAGGGCTCTACAAGTTCTCACTTGCAAACAGGACGCGAGTGAGACAGGTTCCGGGTAATTCTATTAAAAGGGAAAACTGGGGGGCGGGCGATGTGACTCGAGGCCCCTGTGCGAACCAGGCGGAGTTCATTCCTGTTTCGTTATGAATCCAGAACACCTGGCGTGAAAGGCAACAAGTCCCTCGCAGGACGAGTCTCGGGAGAGGGCGCTGCTGCCTCTGCTCGGACTCGGGGGCAGCGCCGGTTTGCTCTGAGGTTCAGCAAGAGTAAGAGCACACGCCCTTCATGTCCCACAGAAAGGGAGCGAAGCACAGCCCTCAGATGACCTGCGTCGACCTCCCGGCAATGTCCTCGGCCCGGAGCACAACTCAGGATTTCAGGAAGCGGTCAGTCAGCTGGCAAAGCCACGGGCCCCTCGAGGTGCCCAGGCCAGGAGCTCGAGGAGGGGACGGTGGGGAGGGGCCTGCCTCTGCCCTCAGTTCCCACCATTCGTCTTGGCCTCTGCTCCGCCTGGGGATCCTGCTGCATGACAGATAATACGCATGAAAACTCGAGGCCACGGGGCCCTGTACATGGCTCCCTCCTCCTGGAAGGACCTGTTCTGTGTGCGGGTGCAGGCCTGGGGCAGACGCCTTCACCCCAAGGCCTCTCCTCGCCTCTTCTGTGGATGCCCTGGGCGCTGAGGCCCTGGCCCCTCAGGTCCCGGTACTTCAGCTATTCTCCAATGCCTCCTGACAGAGGTCCTTTTCCTAAATTCCATCTAGATTTTTCCACTGTGCTCAACAAGGCAGCTGGTTTGTGACGAGCCCGTCCCCCAAGAAGGAAGCCGGATCACGGAGTCTCAGTCCCTGGAAGTAAGTCTTTTTCTGGGGCTGAGCAGCCAGGCTCCGCCTTGGTTTGACAGTTTTACCATCAGGAAAGCCCAATGGCAGGGCTTCCAGCTATCCGTGTCCCTTTGGTGGCTCTTCCTGCCCCCGAGGCAGGCACTTGCCTTATTTTAAGATCTTGCATCTTCAGCATTAAAGTAAACACGTGTTCCTGTGTTGAAGCCTCTTAGATAGAAGGTAACTGTGTGCGTCCTATGCGTTTCCTGTGCTTGGCCTGTTTCCCTGGAACCAGGGTGGAGGCTGCTTTCTAAAGGGATGGTTGGGAACAGGGGCCCGTGTGTGACGTGTGGTTGGAGGCAGACTGCCTGTCGTTAGAGGTGGGATATGTGGACACAAGTCAATTTGCTGGACCTTGGGGAGGGCAGAGGGCAGTGGGAAGCAACCGGTGGGCGGGGAAGGACCCAGGGGCGGGGCTCCATGGGTGAGGGCGAGCTCCAAGCTTCCTGGCTGCACCACCTCGCAGGGTGCAAGGCACTTCGCAGGGCAGAAGGCCATCTACCCTCCTGGGATGAGTGATGGCGCCGAGGTTACCTGCTTGTTGCGCTTTCCCTACCCCATGACCTCTGCATGTGCAAACAGCCGGCAGGGTGGAGGTGAAACACCCCCGTGAAGTGAGAGGGAGCCCCAGTGCCAGGCATCCAGCAATCCAGCTGGGTGCAGGGCGGGGCAGAGAAAGGGTGGTCAGGGGTAGGGGGCTCACCAGGTTTCTGGACAGGGGAGACCAGCCAGGTGAAGGGCAGGCAGGGTGGGGCCGGTGAGCTGCGGACCCGGAGGAAGATGGCTCACCTGTGTACTCCCCCAGGATCATCCGGGACATAATCACAGTGAAAATGGGGGCTGAGCTCTTCACTGTCTCAGCAAAGGAAACCGCCACATTTTTCAGGCTGACCAGACCCAGGACCACAGTCGCAAACCTGAAAATGAGCCGGAAGTATCAGCAGGATATATCAGCCCATTTGCAGCTCTCACCGGACTCTCCAAGGAGTCGGCCAGGTGGCCACACACCTGACTCCCCACTTTCTGTGCCGTGTTGGGTCTGGCCCCTCAGGCAAAGACATTGGAGGCTCCAGTGTGGCCAGAGCGTGAGCCCCAGGAAGCACAGTACTCTCAGACTGTTACTGAGTCACTAAATTAGTTCCATGGCTGTTCCAGAAAGAATCTGATCAGTCGTATGTGGCATTAAGATCCACAAAACCAGATACATCTGTTGTCCTAAAATGTAGCCTTTAGAGTTTGTGTTGAAAACTCACAATTGATCACCTAACAATGGCGTCCGTCAGCCTGCTGCTCACTCTCAGGCGACAGAAAAGGTATTTTAAGTAACGTGTGTAACGAACTCAGACCCACAACTGAACACCAGGCCCCTCACCTCATGAGGCCCACGAACAGCATGGTCATGATGAAGTTGGGTGGGTACGAGAGCCGGGCTTTGTGCTGATACAAACAGCAGGGGACGAATATTTTCAAGCACCCGATGCAGGTAGTGGACAGCATCTGCACAGCGCCTGAGGCGAGATGGGGTCATGGAGCGGGAGAGGC